AAATTAAGAAAGAGAAATCAGTGAAAGAAATTGAGAACAAAGAGAGAACAGTATTTTGGAAGCCAAGGGAAGAGAAAGTTTCCTGAAGAAGGAGGTTGATAATGCTGTTGAGTGAATGAGATGTTGGATTTGGCTGTTTGGAAGTGACTCAGGAGATCAGGAGTAAGATGTGGCGGCAACAGCTAGATTAGAGTGGCTGAGAAGTGAATAGGTGAAACTCACAAAATTCTATACCTGGCAAAATCCTAATCTTTGAAGTCCCATCTTGAATGTCACCTTCCCTGACTGTTCATATTAGTCATTTCTTCTGGGTGCCTTTGCAATACTCAATTCTTTCTTCTTTTCAAAAAAATTTCATAGCATTGCACTTCATCCTGGTGACCCAAGTAAAGTCTTCTTGATGTCACCACTGTGTCTTGTGCATCAGTGTATTCTGAGGCCTTAGCTTAATGTCAGGATGGTCACAACTCAGTAAACATTCGTTAAATATATGAGTTAGAAAAAGAAATGATTATTTTAGGAAATTTGAATACAGAGGAGAAGAGAAAAAAATCTTGCGATAGAATAAGCTTGAGAGAAGGGTTTCTAGAAAGGAGAAGCCTTGAACATTTTCACTGACTGATAAGGAGTCAGGGAAGGGGTGAAGATTGAGGGTGAAAACGAGGAAAGAGCTGACTAAGCCAGCCTGCGATGGAGGAGGAAAGGGAAGAGGTGGCAGGGATGGGATCGTGGCCACAGGTGAATAAAGAGGCCTGGAAGACATACTTCCTCTGAAACAGAAGAGCGAGGAGAACAGTGAGAACTTAGTTCAACTTTGAAAGTAAGGGAGAAAAACTGAGGAGGCTTACATTGGGTAGACTTTTACCTTCTGCTCAGGCGACAGGATCAGAGGTGACTGAGGGGCCTGAGCAAAACGTTTTGGAACAACTTTGGGCTACGTGACCATGGTTCCAGTAATACTGGAGAGAGAATGGATCATCTAGCAGCGCTGAGGGCCCATGTAAGGCTAGTGAAGCTGATGAATTTTAGGGCTTGCTTGTTTGTATGTTTATTCATTTATTTGTTAACTAACATTTTAAAATAAATATCAATTGTATAGGTTTGTTTGTGTGTTTGTTTTAACTTCCCTTGAGGAAACAGCTGTGTTATAGTCAAAGTATCTGTTGCAGACTTGGAAGTCGTTTTGCACACAATCTTTGCCAAGGCTCTTTTCTGTTTAAATAGAGGTAGGCAGCTAGCATATGTGTGATGCACAATGATCAGCATCTGTTTTGAGCACTGTCTTTTTCTGTTATCATTTACCTGAATTTTTCATACACAAATGTTATCAGCATGATGAGGTGAAACTGCTCTATGGCGCATGCATTTAACTAAACCTTTAAGTCTGAAATAAGACGTGCTAGGCTTACTGAAATCTTTTTTTTTTTTTTTTAACTAGAGTTGGACAAGTTATAACCATCAAAGCCAAGGTTACCAGAGCATTTAGCACAAGCATGGAGGTAAGAGGCCCCTTTCCTTAATTCTGCCTGTTGGTGCTAATAATGGAATTAGAAAAGACTTATCACATAATGCCAAATTTAAAAAAAATTATATAAAACTGTAAATACAGTATAATTTTGTGCATGTGTACACACATATATACATATATACATATTTTATATATCAATAAATAATATACATTCACCTAAATGTTAGTAATTATTAATCTGGGTAGTGGGATTACTAATTACTGATAATATCTACTCTGGATAGATTCCATTTTTATATTTTTATATTTACCAACTTTTCCATGGTACATATATATTTTTCTCTAATCAGAAAAAGTTATTTTTGCAATTTTATGGAACATTATTAAAAGGAGAATGTTGCTTAAAAATAAAATGCTGATTTCACTCAAAAAACAAAAGAAAAGAATGGTGAAGTGCATAACTGAATTTTGAAAGCTTCAATCTCATCTGTTACTTGAATGGCTGAAAGTTTATTTATTTTATTTTCATTTTAGATCAGCATCAAGGTCATAGTACAGGACATGTTCACTGGCGTTGAGAAACTTGTTAGTGTGGCCTTCTCTACATTTGTAGCCAAACCAGTGGGGGATGAAAAGGTAAATTTTCTGTGTGGAGAGGTTCTAGAATGTAATTCAAGGACATATTAATAATGGCATCAGAATTATTATTGAACAAAGGACATTCATCTTACAGTGAAATGTGCTTTTATTTATTTATACATATATATGTTTATATATCAGTAATATTTATCATAAAAGTTATAATGTAGTAATGTAATAGATTTAATAGATTTAAGTACTTTAGAGAAAAAAGATGTAGCCAGTTTGTGAAAGAGGAAAAAAAACACTGTGTTTTAAATGATCTGAAGGTCATGTCAGTTTTTCAAAAATATTGCTTACTGGTTTAGTTCTTTTCTTTTGTGGTTATATAACTCCAAATTGAGTTAAAATTTTCTTTAAAAAAAAGCAAGGGCCATTTAGTAAGCAGTTGCATGTTGTGTAGTTCAGACGTTTTATTATACCTGAAGGAAGAATGTCAAAGTTGCTGAGTTGTTGAAGTTTAGAAATAAGTTTCTGGACATATGGGGTTAAAAACACCCTTAAAAGAAGTACATTTGGCCTGCTGTGTGTGCCCGGTGAGCTGGTCTGCCATTGGCTCAGGGTAGCTGGTCTGTAGGCTTCCCCCAGAGGTTGATTCATTATAATTTCTTGGTTTTCCTTTTGAGGGTCAGGGTGCCTGGGGGAGGCTCCCCATTTAGTCCAAGTACTGGTAAATGTAAGAATTAATTTAGAATTTAAATTTTTCACTGCAAGGATTGCTCCAGAGGTGGACACAGTGGCATCTCCTAGCTATACTTTAGAGCAACAAGGAGCACCTCTCCCTCTACCAGTGCTCTCCCTCAGACTGCCTCAAACTTCAGAGGTGGGACAAAGCAACGTTTTCACTGTACCCAACAGAGGTGACAACAGAGCAGCACTCACAGCTATGCCTCACTTGGGCGAGGAAGCCCAGAGATGGGCTGGGACTGGGTTAGCCCACTGTGGTGCCCGGTGGCAGGTGTCCCCACAGAGTTTTGTACACTGGGACCCTTCTCCCACTTTCTGCCCAAGATTAAACAGGTCACAGGCAAATTCACATTGCTCAAAGGCATTGTTTTTGAAGCTGAATTTCACATAAGCTATTATATTATTTAAAAAGGTAGCTTTTCTGGACTGGATCACAGACCTACTGAATTAGAATCACTAGCATAGCAACCTGGAATCTGTACTTACAGCATCCCAGGGGTCCTGTGTTCACTCAAATCTAAGATGTTGACATAGGTTTTGCCAACCATTCTGTTTTTTCTAGCGTCCCCAGAAATCTCTAAACTCTTGTGAATGAGAGAATGTGGGGGTGGGTAGAGAGTTCCCATATCTGAGAGCAAATGACAGAAAGGAGTCCATTTCACCATTCTATTCACTCCCTTTATATCAAGGAGAAAGCGAGGGCCACCATTGTTCCTCTCCAGTTTTAGACTTCTCACTCCAATAAGAATATAATAGGCACACTTCATTCTCTGCTGAGACTAAAGAACTGTTTTTATGAAAGCATTTCTGGGAAGTCAGGGGCCTTACAGTGCTGCCATAATTGGTTGGCTCAGATAACCTTTATGTAAAGCATGTTTCCCACACTAATTTATTTTCCAGTTGGTAATATTCTTGTTCAGTTGAACAAGCTCGTTCAGCTGAACATTGTTATTCAACACATCATGAAGAGAGCCATGAAAAATCAGTGGTTTGGTTTGAAGCAATAGGCCTACCTGGATCTCTGTCCAAAGTGAATTTATTCCAAGATAAGATGGACAATGATTAACTATGCTTAGTTCAGCAATTGCACAGGCCAGATCATTGAAGGATTCAACCCGAATCCATAGAGTATGCCCGTGGTAGGCCTACTCAAGCTACAGGAGACGGTACAGCAGGAGAAAGACCTTGCAGGACATTCGGTCCTTTCCAAAATGTCCACTGAGACATTTGGTCCATGCCCAACCATCCTTGATGTTTGGTCCTTCACATGTGCCATGACCAGCAAGGATACCAAGGCAAGAATGGTATTGGCAATACAGCCACAACACAATTATTGGACCAATGAAATATAGTACTTTTAGTGTATGAAGCCTATAAACCAAAGATCTAAATAACCATTATAGGCTCTTTGAAGCCAGGGACATTTTTTCTAAGCCTGAATGTTTTGAACAGGACCAAATACCAAGGACCTTTTGGCATGGACCACATGTCTGCTAGTGGAGAAAGTAAGCACAGGCAAACATCAGAGAGGTTCAAGACTTCCAGGCATCACTCTCAGGTTGCTCTTCAGTCACACAAAATGTACTTTATCTACAGCCTGGAGAACCAAGGCATTAGTTTACCAGGTGGTTCTTTTATATCGCACTGGTCACACAACTAAAACAGAACTGTGTAAGCAGATAAACCAGTGCAAGCTCTCAGTCTATACATTCCTAAACAAATTAGAAAAGGCAGTCCAGGGGCGTTTCAGATTTGCAGTAGCATACTATAAAGCTAGGTGTTTCATCCTTATCTTGGCCAAGGGTTAGCACCATGCTGGAAATAAGCATGGAGCCACCTCAGTCCACATGCAAGATGCTTCTTCGTTATACACACAGGTTAGCAGACAGGCATTTCCAGAGGAGCTTGAGCCTTTGGTTCTGTTGAATCATATTTCCAAGTTTCTGGAGCCCAGTTAAAGCTTGATTCTGACATATTGATTCTTTCAGTTTGCTGATTAGATTAATGTTTTCACCATGTGATGAAATTTCCAAATAGGGAATATCTCGTGGTACATGATAGCTTTTTCTAGAACATCTTTTTCCTCTCCCTTTGATGTCTTGATTTTGCAAAAGGCAGAAAAGATTTCTTGATTAGAATTCAGTGGCATCAAAGTTCATCTCCTCATTCATTAACCTGAAGAATTTCTTATTTTATACTTCTGTTGAAAATTTTTAAAATCAGGGAAATTTAATATTGGGAGAACTCCTTAAAGCACATAAATTATTATATGCAGAAATAATTGTCTACATTGATTTTTTTTTAGTTTAAAAATATTTTAAGAAAAAATTTAGTCAAAATAAAATGTGTGTTAAAACATCCATAAATATTTTATTTACTTTGAGTTAATAAACAATGTAGAATATCATTTGTTCTTGCAAAATTCATGTTGTGCTTTTATGATTTAACAAAGCAACGGAAGATCAATGTTTTTCTTTCTCTAGATTCACTTAAAACCAGTCACACTTCTAACTGAACAAGATCATGTGGAACATAACTTGGCTTCTGAGAGAAGGAAAGTTCGATTACAACATGAAGATACCTTCCTAAACCTGATGAAGGAAAGTAGCAAGTTTGATGGTCAGTAAACCTATATAGGAGCTTTAATTATATGACTATGACCAATGAAGGGACCCTTCTTGATACAGACTTATTTTGACCTTATTATTACAATTCAGTCGTGGTGATGCTAGATAATCTTTTCCAGTAAACCCAGTGGCTGGAGAAGGAAGGGGCTGGCCATTCAGAATATAACTGCTGGCACCTAAGACCACTTTAAATTAGAGGATCTCCAGGGAAGGAGATGTGAAAGAAGGGCGACACAGACCAGGTAGTCCTTACCAGTAAATGTGCCCTCAGTAATGATAGATGAAGGAATGACAATGCCATACATCGATCTGATGCTTCGTATTTTACTAAGCAGTTTCTCATCTGTTATTTCATATGAGCTGCATGTATTAAGCTGCATATTAAGAGTCTCAACAGAGGGGGAAACTGAAACTCTGAGTAGTGAAGAACCTTGCTAAAGATCAGAGGGTATGAATGGAAGCCATAACATTCTATTCCCGTTTCCCGGTGGCTTTTCCACAGTAATACTGTGTTGGATGAGCCAAAGTTTCTTAGTTTTCTGGCAGTGATTTCCCAAGCTCTTTGCAGCCTCATGGGGCCGGAATGTCAGACAAAGGTGGTCACCTTACCCCTCGCATGCCCTTCCTGTCTGATACCATCTCCTGCAGCCCTGCGGGGGAACTGACCTGAGGTGGAGAGCAAAGTGGGTGAGGGGAGGAAGTAGAGTGATCCATCCAGAGGCCCTCTCGCTCACTACTGACAGGAGGGCAGGGAAGCTCACAGAAGGTCCAGCTGCCTCCCCTTGGCTCCAAGGCAGACACAGGAAAAAGAGGAAGGTAAGCAGAGGACAAGAAAGGGTCAGGATAAGAATGTGAAAAGAGAAAAAGGAAGAGTTCATATAAAGGCCAGAGGAGAGAGGAAAGAAAGAGGCAGGGGTGACCTGACATCTGTGGGCTTTACTCTTCCCCGCAGTGACACCATCATGGTCCTGGGACCACCCCACAGACAACCTCTGGGTTGGACAAAAGTTTTGCAAAGGTGTCTACTCATTGCTGACCTTTTAAAGATAATGCCCATTACCAACTTATTTTTAAGGAAATGAAGACTTGATCATTTAATTACTGTGCTGAGAAGAAGTGAGCCTCCTTTGGTAAAGATAGTCTCAGTACCAAAATATATTTTAAATGCTTTTTGCTAAAGTAATCAAATAGCTAAAGCATGAGAACAAGAGCATTAGTAGAGAGAACATTCAAGGTGGAATGAGGCAGGACAGGAAAGAGAGAACTGCATCGTGGAGGCTCCCTTAGGCCATGCTAAGAAGCTTGACCTTTCTTCTGTCCCTGATGAGAGCCAGTGAAGGGCTTTGCACGACTCATTGGTGTATGATTAGACTTGCACTTAATATGGTCACTCTGGGTAGAAGAGGGAAGACTAGAAGGATGGAAACCAGGCAAGAGGTGAGGAGTGTCTGCACCAGGCAATGATAGTGAGGAGCGGGAGGAGGAAAGAGTGAAAAGAAAAAAAAAAAAAAACATGGGAGAGGTAAAATCAACAGAATAGGATCACTGATGTGGGGGGATGGGTGAGGAAGAAGAAGGAGTCAAGGATCATGCTCAGGTTTCTGGTTCGAGCAATTGGTTAATTACTAGGGTGTCATGCACTGAGATATTGACTGTGAACGGCAGGGTATGGCAATTTTGATGAAGTGGATGGTGAGTTCAGTTTAATCTGAAAAGCCTGTGGAACAACCAAAAGAATGAGACCAAGGTGGAGGAGATTAAGTTTGAGAAACAACAGTTTACAGATAGTAATTCAAATAAAGTCGGTCTCTGCAGTCACCCAGTGAGGGCTCATGGGGACAGAGGGGTGGTGGGCCAAAAATGGAATGTGCAGAATGCAGCCATCTAAGAGATCCGAGGAGGGGGAGGAGTTACAAAGGAGACCTGGAGGGACTGGTCAGAGGGGTAAAGAGAACTGGAAAGAATGGTGTCCTAAGGCCAGGGAGCAGAGTGACATGAAGAAATGAGTGGTCAGCTGCGTTCCAGGAAGTGAGGAATTCCCACTGACTTGGAAATAGGGAAGTCATTGGTGACATTGGCAACAGCATGGTTAGTGGCAGCGTGAGTGCAATAAATAGGGTACAAAAAGGCAGATAGTCATATGACCCTGTATAGGAATAAAGCGGATAGGGAAGAGCTTACATAACCTCTGTGTCATAGTCACCTGCCAAATGAAACACTCTTAACATTAGGCTTTGTGAAAGCACGTTTATTAGGATGCAGTGGGTGATGAAGGAAGCAGCCGCCAGCCTCCTAGCCCCTCAGCGCCTGAATGTCGTCCTTTGCAGTACCTGCGGACAGTGAGGGACACAGAGGCTGTCCCAGCTCTTAGAGCACCTTGGCTGTTTAGAACCGCTGCTTTGGGGGGAAACTGAGGCACTGACTTAGATCTCAAAGTGTCGTACAAACCAGCATGAGGCGTCCCACAATAGTGCTGGCGTTTGACAGGAACTCAATTTTCTCATGGTGTTTTCCCACACATGAGCCATCAGAGGTGGAGACTGCCTCTCTCTGGTCCCTGGGCCCAGTTCCATGGGAAGCAGGGGCCTTTCTGTCGGCCTACTTGCCCCTAAGATACCCACAACCAGGATAGCCACTTCCTCCCAAGGCTTACTTACCCCTAAGGCTGGATCACTAGACCGGGACCGGGGCCTACTCACTGGTTCCTCCAATGCCTCTTGCAGCCCCGGCCAGCAGGAAGTTGCTCTTTTTGTTTTTTTATCCCAGTACTTGCTGCGCATACTCAAACCACTGACATTGCTCGGTTCTTAGCTCACTGAGGCAAGGTTAAACACAAACAAAACAAACTGTAAAATGGGAATAGTAAAGGTACTTATTTGATAGGTTTATGTAAGGATTAAATAAGTTCATATTGATAGATCACTGAGAACGGCCTCAGACATGCAGAAAGTACTATTATTATTATTGCTATTTGAGAGGTCCCCATTCATAGGAAGGATTGGAGCAACAACTGAAGGCTATCGTTTCAAGAAACTTGGCTGTGAAGGGTGGAGGAAACAGTCGAGCTAGAGGGGACCCTCAAGGTCAAAGGGACATTATTTTTCAGGATAGGAAATGATTGGTCATGGTTGCAGGCTGATCAAAGCTAATCAATAAAAATCATTATTTAGGGAGAGGTTGATTATAAGAGAAAGAGATAATTGGTATAAAACCTGTACTTAAAACACCTGAAAAATTTTATTTGTTTACCTGGGGAGGAATTTACAGTGATCCCTGTAACTCTGGCCTTTCTCACAAGTGTCAGTCTACCGGGGAAGGGTCATTAGGCCTGGTGATCTGAGCCTCCTTCCCTCCCCACGTGAGCCAGGGGAACTTGGCTGCATTGGCTTTTTCTGATGTTGTGCAAGTTGTACTAATAAACAAAATCAGCAGCGGACAATTTGGTCTACCTGACCTCAGAACACCAGCAGTACTTTGTGTACTAAAGACATTCTGAATTAACAACAGGCACATGCTACAGTCATTCAAATGTAGAGGTAGAATGATTGTTATTGACCTTGGTTTCATTTTGTTAGGAAGTTGGGCAAATCAGATCTCTGTGTCTGGTTCAATTTAGAATTATAGATTTTTAAAAGCCTGTTTTTATCATCTGTTTCATCTAGTCTGCCCTAAAATGGACTACTCTACATTCCTTTGCACAAAACAAGTTTTAACCCCACTTCATTGATTTGATCTTCTTTTTAGAAATCTTACTAGTTTCCATGCCACCAAGGGTACTAATGAACATAAAAGCAATTTTTCTTAAGCGTCTAAGAACCAGACACTGGACTTGAAGTTGCCACAGAGCATGTGGTTTGTCCACCTGCTGCCCCGTAAATCTGATGGAGTTTGTTTTGGATGGGACAGTATGTTCCAAAGGAAAACAGCTAGATCATTTTTGTTATTGAACTGTGTTTGTAGAAAAACCAGTGTTCAATATTGGTTGCCATATCATATATAAAAGATTGGAATATTTTCCAAGATGTTGCGTGATTGAAAAGCACTACCATTAGAACAGTGAGAAAGTTGAAACCAAATCATACTCTTTCAGAAGAAAAGGGAAAATGATGAGATTAGATTATATAAAAAGAAGACTTTTTTGGAATGTGCTCTAGTCCCATTGGTATGTGGGAGCTTGGCATGTAGGAAAAAATGTAAGTCTTTCTTAAGATTTGAAGAATTTTAATTATAATTTTTTAGTTAGAAATCAAATTTTTATAAGTATTGTCCTGTGTTGCTCCTTTCTGCTTATGAGAAAAGAAAAGAAGAAGAAAAAAAACCCCTAGGGCTAGAATGACCTGGAAATGTGGAATAAATGTCAAATTGTCCAAGCAGAATGATGACACAATACTTAACATCCAAAGTGCAACTATTGAAACGGGCCAACGGATGAGTATGCCCCTATGTGGAAGCCTGCAAAAAGTATGAGATTTGTTTACTGTACTTAACTTGTGTACACAGCCAGACCATGAGCCTGAACTGGTCTCTGAACGGGGCAGAGCCTTATGTCTCCACTGATTGGCAATCACATGCAAATAGACATGCTTCTGCACTGAAGTCACCTATACTCAGTATAGTTCTGCAGACGTGTCATAGCTGATGCTTATGCACATATGACATGCCCTCGGACCCACCTCTACATGTGTTAGTGTATGCCAGATATGTCTTCACAGGAATCGAGTAGATTTTTCTTTAAAATCATCCCTCAGAAAAGAAGGAATTGTCTTATATTTGAGTGTTTACAATGTCTCTCATAAGAAATACTATTTCACACCCACAAAATTTGGAAAAAACTGAAGAGTCTACAATACTGTTTAAGTGGAACACTAATAAACAGCAGACAGAAGTGTCAATCAGTACAATCATTTTGTTACCTAAAGATACCCTGTTGATAGTAAGGCCTACAAAAGTGGAATACATCATCCAAGTTAAGTTTATTCATCTCATCATTCATTCAATAAATATTTACTGAACACCCATATTCAGGAATTATATTAGAATTTAAAAAATTCAGTCTTTGCCCAAAGGAGCTTAGGATCTAGTGGGTCAGATAATCAAAGATCACACAAATAAATGTAGAACTATAACTGTGAAAGAAAGGGATGTGTGCTAGCTCAGAGGAGTGGGGATTCAAAGGGGAGGTCAGGGAAGGCTTTCCTGAGAGAATGATGACTGACATGAGCCAAGAGAGAATAGGAAGTTAAGTGGAAGAAGGTGGTGGTGGTGACTTGGGGAATTGCTACTGAAAGAGGGAACAACATGTGCAAATGCCCTGATGTTGAAGACAACATTTAGTCCCATGAACTGAAAAAAGGCCATTGTGGTTAAAACAAAGGGAGAGAGAGGCTGAGAGAGAATATGATGGAAGAAGGAGGGGTGCTAGTGGCAGTCAGGCCAGCTGGGGCTGCAGAGGTCGGCATAGGTCAGACTGGGAAGGAAGGACTTAAGGCCATAAGAAGGATTTGCACTTTTATCCTAGGACAATGGGAAGTTACCCGCATGTTTGTAAGCAGGAGACCGGAATGGGGGGGGGGGGTTAAAATTAAAAGGCCATCAATTAATTATAAATCTAAAAATTCTGGTAGGAAATGGAGTTCAAAGTCTCTGTAACCACACTTCTGTGCTCACTTATATGTGACTGTGCCAAGGACAGCCCCATTCCCAGTTACCAGTGACAGCTAGGTGCATCTGTGCTGTCGCCCTGCAAGCTCAGCTCTGCCTATGACAGTACAACCAGGATGGTACCCCGGATTTGTAAGTCTTCCCCCACCACCTCAGTGATAGCATGTGAGATGTAAGCCCTGCTGGTGACTCACTTGATGATGCAGGAAGCATAACTGAACACATTTACTGCTTTGCTGCCAAAGTAAATGATTTCTCCATTGTTGAGAGTAAAAACCAATTTGTTGGTAAATGAGGCAGATATGATTTGAAAGAAGCAGGACACTAAGAAGCACAATGTACTGTGTCTTTTCTGTTCATGGCTGCCTTCACTATAAAACAGTAACCACGGGAGGCCACATTCCCATTCTGAAGTTCATAGCACAGCGAACTATTCCAGATTCTCAGTGTCTGTGGCCCTTTAGAGCTCCAATTCCTTTCTTTTTAACAACTTTATTGACATACCATAAATGGCCCATATTTAAAGTGTAAAATTTGATGGGTTTTGTTTTGTTTTAGCTGAGCCATTCTGCCACCTGTTGGCAGCTCAGAGGCAGCTCAGCTCTGACTGGGAATCGAACCGGCAACCTTGTTGCTCAGAGCTCGCACTCTTGAGAAGCTCTTAACCAGCTGAACCACTCAGCCGGCCTTAATAAATTTTGTTTAGTTTTACATTTATTTTTCAATTACATTTGACCTACAGTAGCATGTTAGTTTCAGGTGTGCAACATAGTGATTACACATTTGTATACTTCACAAAGTGATCACCCCAATACCATTTCGTAAGTTCTGAGACATGTATACATCCATGAAACCATCACCACAATCAAGATAATGACATATCCATTAATCCCCAAATTTCTTTCTGCCCCTTCCTGACTTGACCTGTTTCTCCTCCACCCCAAATAGCTCAAGTTTAAATTTAATCAGTCTTTAAATCAAAGTTGTGGTGAACTTGTTAGATAGGTTGGAATACAGTCTCTAAAAAGCCCTTTCTGATCTGTTATCTTATCCAATTCACTGTAAATATCCACCATGCTGATTAAAGTCACTCTGTAGAATGAAACCTATTTACTAGCTCAAGAGTTTTAAGTCTTTGGGAATAATTTAATTTTTCTAATTGAAAAAATCCTGTGAGTTGAGAATGCTGCTGGGAAGGAAAGGCTGTAGCCCCAAGTCCTGTGGTTGGTTAACTCCACCATCATTAATGTTTACATCCACCTTTCAGATCCCATTTGTGTTGAAGAGGAGGGACTGGTTTCCACGAGGGACACCTCTGTTCAGAGCATTGAGCTTGTCCTCCCACCCCATGCAAACCATCATGGAAATACATTTGGTGGCCAGATTATGGCTTGGATGGAGACAGCGGCTACTATTTCTGCCAGGTTCTTGGTTTTGATGTTGGTTCTTCGGCGTGTGATGTTGGCACCAGTGGGGAAGGAATAGAAAGGGTCTGATTCCCAGTGATTAGGCAAGTCAAGGAGACCAGGAGAAGACAATCTTGCCTTGATCAAAATAAAACAATAGGTCATTTACCTGTTTGAAGGTGAATGTTTAAATTCTTGGTTCAAAAATAAAAAATGAAATGACAGTTCTAATACTTTATTCTGAATTATGAATGTTGATCTTGTGAACTGTAATTCCTTATAATGATAGTTAGGAGGAAGTAGATGCAGAGTAGAAATAGAGCACAGCCTTTACACTTAAAAATGGTCAAGTTACAAGCTTTTTAAGAGGCAGTTTACAGTTAGATCTGACCTTGGAATGCACTGGTTAGATTGGTTATAGCCAAAGGATTAAATGAAAAATAAGAGGAAAAAGAGGGGAAGAGAACAACTTGGAAATGTACTTTAAATGCTCCTTAGTTTAAAAAAAAAATGTCATTTTATTCTTAGTATAACCATGTAGATAATTGGGAAACTTTGAAGGACATGTGTACTTTGAAAATGCATTTCAACAAGATCTGCCTGTCTGACAATTTTTGTGACCACTAAAAATTAAGGTTTTATTTTCCCAAAACTAAAAAAAAAAATTATTATTAATACGTCTATAATTATGACTGTAGTTAGAAACCTGCAGTTATCCTTCCTATAAATTATGCACAAATATAACACAGCTTGTTTTTAAAATGAGATTGTCATTCTTAATGCAATCAAGTGCTTGAACCTGTTCTGTGGTAAAGCTTAAAGCTTACCATATAATTAACTGTGGCAGAGTCTGTTCATTTAGTGTTGACACAATTGTTTCGTAGTAATTGAATGACTACAGTGGGAATCTAAAATATAGAAAATTATGAAAGTAGCTCTCTGAGATGAAATATTCTTTATAGATATTTCAACATTTCGCACACACAAAAATTATAAAATGAGTGCCTTGTAGCCATTCAGGCTTTGTGCAGCAATCCAGGTAATTTTTCTGTGGGGAAAAAAAGTTAGTCTTTTGATATGTGGGTGAATCAGTTAACTGTGAACTGAAAGAGCTGGCGTGAATGGCACCAGCTGGCAGTTCTCTTCATGGTGCCCCCAGTCCACCCTGAGAGTCACAGTTTCCTGTTATTGAAATCATGAACTATCAGGATGAGTACAACCCTCCACTTAGAACAAAAGACATAGGTTTGTTTTTTGGAGGGACTTCCATGGGGCAAAAAAAAAAAAGCCATGAACTGGACTATTACCCCAAGAGTAGAAGCGCCAGCATCTTGGTACAGATCCCACAGCTTGGGAACATGGGATTTCCCCAAATATTTGCAGGTCATGTACAGAAGCACTCTCAACACACACTATCCAGTTATTTATTTCACTAGAGTGAAAAGAGAGATTTATTTAGAAAGCACACTGAACACTGGTATGGTGGACCTGTTAAGCGAATCAGCAGTTCCTGAAAATATTCTGGAAAATGATCAATTTCTTCTGTCTCGCCTCCCCTTTGTTTCATCAGCCGCCTCTGTCAAGCACATCCTCTTCTGAAGTCCGTGGACATGTTTAAGTTCCGGGGACCGTCTACCATTGGAGATCGTCTGGTCTTCAGTGCCATTGTCAACAATACATTTCAGACCTGGTAAAGTGTGCCTAGTGCTCTTAGGCTGCTACAAATGAATTCAAACTTGCACATAAATATTTTTTTAATTTTTATTTCAATCTGGAGGTAAGTATAGGGACTACTTTAAAGTAACCAAGTTCCTTCTATTTTTTTTTTTTGAAATATCGCTCAGTCTTCTAAATCTGTAGACATACATTTTAACCCTCTATTCTGCTCAAGTCCTCCTTACATTGAGTAACTTGTGATAGGTTGATTTTTCTCTCTCATAATAAGGGTAATTGTATGCCTCAGTGGAGTCAGGGTGGTCCTGGTTTATTATTGTCATAATTATTAACTTTTCCTTTCACTCTCAAAAGATTCCCTGTGATTGTATGGGCAACCCATTCATAATGGACCTGTCATTAATCACCATGACGTCTAAACCACCTTCCAGTTATGTTTATTACTCTTGATACACAATGAAAAGATTTAATTTAGTATTTTTATCTTTTTAAATGTATAAAAGAGCATTTCCTCTCTAATTTCAGTGTTTGATGCTTTTTCATGACAGAAGTATTATTTTTAGGGGAGAAAACTTGATTTTGACACAATTGAACCCCCTGCCCTCCTATCACCAGAATATGTTCATGAGTGTATATAAAGTACCAACTGGCCTTTTTCCTAGTTGAAAGTGGGAAAATAAAGCAGAAAGGCTCCTAGGGGTTTGTGCCTCAGATTATCAACCAGGTGAAATGGATGTTAATAGTCGCATAGATTTGCAGACAACAAAGAGCAATCCGAGGACCCTCCTTGCTGGGAAGAGGTGTTGGTGGCCGTGGGCAGAGGAGGCTCAGCATGCCCCCCAGTTCTCTGCCCACCGCCCCATGTCACCCTCTTGCAGTGTGGAAGTGGGCGTGCGCGTGGAGGCCTTTGACTGCCAGGAGTGGGCTGAGGGCCGGGGCCGTCACATCAACAGTGCTTTTCTCATTTATAATGCGGTCGATGATAAGGAAGAACTGGTCATATTTCCCAGAATCAAACCCATGTCAAAGGTCAGTTATCAGCACACGAGGTTCAGTAATCAGACCACTTTTTCTGGGGGAAGCCGTGGGTACAGAGCTCTACCCAGAATCTCTCCTCCCACCAGCAACAACCTGCATGGCTATTCCCCTTCTCTGTGTCACCAAGTAAAATGGAGTTTTTCTTTTTTTTTCCAAATCACTCTAATCATTCGTTAAAATGATGGGGTCCCTGAAGACCTCACCCCTACTCGGCCGCGTACTGCTGTTGGAAGCGTATCATCTTCCGTGTCCCATTTCTGACTCTTCTCCCCCCTTCCATCCGGTCCACTGTGCCGGTCCACATTCATCGGAACCACGTCCTTCCCTCAACCTGCAGTTGCCTTATTGCCGACTCTCACCTGAGGAGAGTTCGCAGAAGAGACATGTGTCCCACTTAAAAAGTCAGCCTTTTCAACTGACTTAGGAGAGAGAGTCTTAGGATTGTAGCACTAATATATAAAAAATGTATCGATTTTTCTTTGTTATTAAAGGATGATTTTAGACGGTATCATGGAGCTATTGCACGCAAGAGAATTCGCCTAGGCAGGTAAGGGACACAGATGGAGGATTTTATGGAATCGTCTCTTATCTGGCAAATTACATAACAAAGCACCCCTCTCCAAGTCTCTATTCCCACATAATGTAAAAAGAGAATGTCTGATGTTTTCTGACTGTGGAGGCTATTGTGGGAAATTGTTCTTCCTGATTGTTCTAGCAGTAAAAGCAGCTTTTAAAAACTGATTTCAGTTCAAGAAAGTGTCATAGTTACTGTTGAGTGCTAAATGCAGGGAAGCAAACTGTTGGTTAACGTTTTAATTTTTTTTTCCAGAAAATATGTTATTTCCCACAAAGAAGAAGTTCCACTTAGCACACGCTGGGATGTTAGCAACCAGGTGACAGTTTCATGCTTTGGAGCTCTTCATGTAAAAATCACATCATTAAAAAAATGGAAATCCCCTTGTTTAACTGATTCAGGTTGTGCCTACCTACACAGGTTAGATGAAAAGGCGAATTATAGCAACCAGTCATCTCAAAATACAACAAAACCAAGCTATCAGGAACTGGTTACCAACCAGTTGCTTCACCGCCTCATTTGAATTATATGTACAGTTCCAAAATTACAGACTCAGGATGCTCTGCCATAAAATGCATTCAAGCAGCCTGGGACATTGAGGTCTGGTGTCCTACCATGGTTTGTGCTAAATGACATGCCCACCGGCTTGCATTGTTGTAACGCGACAACAAAGTATTAGTTGTTAATGTTTTTGACCATAAAATGTAAAGGGGAATCCAAGTTTACTTTTATAAATCATACAGAGGGTAACCTTGTCTTTGCTCACAATGCCAATTAAAATGATACTAATTTGCGAAGCTTGTAGGCCTAATGTTACCGCATCTAAATTCTGAATGAAGAGTTTGAGACAGAAATTATGTTACCTGTAGCATAGTTCTAAACTCAACATTATTACGTTGGCTCTCACACTGCGCATTTTCTAGGTAGAAAATATTTGATCACATATCTGTGCGTTGAACTCACAGCTTTTAAAATATTTTCATTTTAGGCATCCCTGAGTGATGACAACGTGAAAGCTTTCAAAAAGCTGGTGGCCAAAAGTGGTTGGGAGGTGACCAGTGCTGTGAAAAAGGTAGGAGGCATCCAGGTATATGCACAACTCAATGTCCATCACAAATGAGAATGGTCGCGGTGGTGGTGGTTCTGCTTGTCCTGCTGCTTTTAGAAGGTAGAGAATCTTTTTGGAAAGGTATTTCCAAAAGTCAAACATCTTTCCAGCCCTGTCTCTGCTACTCCATGCTGGCCGACTCCCAACGCGTTCCCACCCTGAGCTTAGTTCTCACATTCCACCTTTCCATCTGCTCAGGTCCAACTTGGTCTTCAAAACCCAGGACAGATACTTTTCTATAAGGCTACTCCTACCACCCCTGAGTGAAGGAACTGTTCCCTCTAGGAACTCCTTTTAGCAATTACTTCTTTAAAATTAATTTCTTAATTAATTATGCACTATCTTGTAACATTTCTTCCACAGCTATGTTGAATGGATGAAAGTCTTACATAATTTATTTTTTTATGCATGATCTTCCTCCTAACTAGATGATAAATTTCTTACGAAAGAAACCTTGTCTTGGCTTCTTTGTATCACTTTTAGCACCTTTTACAATGTTTTGTGTCATCAAATTTGAATAAACATATATCATTTGGATTTGAATTATATCTAATGTCAGGGGTAAATTGGGAGATCCTTTGAAGCTGATGCCCGCACTAAGTAGACTGTCAGCTCGCTGAGGGCCGTTTTGCTAACTAATGTAGTCCCAGGACATAGCAGTGGCTGGCACTCAGGAGATGCTCAATAATGCTGGCTTTTTGTGCTCACGTCTCGACGTGTACTGTTTTACATAATCAAGGAAGCAGTAGCCTCTAAAATAGGGTAACCATTTGTTCTGGTTTTCCTGGGACAGTCCTGGTTGTCCCATCATAATTACTAACAGTGCCTCTGTGTTCCAGTTTGGATAATAAATTATATGGCCACTGACCCTGAAATCAAAACCAAGTCAGAGGCCACTTCATTGATTTTTTTTTCCACTCTGACTTGGACCTCCTCTGCGTGTTCTGTTCCGGGTTGATGGCTTTTGTTATGTCTTTGTCCTCACTTCTGAATCCGTGTGGATCCAGTCAGGTTCCTGGCTATACTTGGGCCAATGATGCAGAAACCCAGGCTATTTCTTTCTCTTTATCCCTCATAAAAGATGCAACAAGACTTTGTTTTCTTTTACTAATATGAAATATGCTTCTTGCATCATTGCTGGCATCTGAGCATTCATGAGCAGCATAGGAAAGGACACACTCAAGTCTGGAATGAAGGAAGAGAGCATATTAAGTGAAGTTGTATAAAATATTAAAATTTCAGTTCTTTGGGGGTTTGGGTCCAGAAACAAATCTTTACAAATAAATAGTATGTTTGCTAGTATCTAAGAAAAACCATCAATAATTAATTTTTAATTTTTGTAGAGATACTTACTAACGGATATAGTGTAGTTAAAGGAACATTCTTATGTTATCTCTGTGTAATTTGAAGCCCTCCATTTTTTAGATTATATTTATGATAAAAATCTGATCTTTTCCATTCTGAGTTATCTCCTTTTCTCTCTTGCTTTTTAAAGCTTTTATATTCTTTTAATTTTAAAATACAGCTCTCTTATTTTTTGTCACCTTTTAGTTGAATATTTTTTACAACACAATTGAATATTAAGAATCATATTTATTTCAGGGTTTAAAATCTATACTTATTTTCAATATAAATTAGATGACTACAGTCTAATATTCCTGGTGTTTGTAATTAAATTGGGCAGTGCTCACTGTTTTAACTTTTATTTCATTTTCAGTGTATAATAATGGAATTAATAATGGTCATAATACAAGGAGCATCTTAAAGAAGCTGATAGTCTGTTTTGAAAACATCATACATACACATGAAACAGCTGAAGAATCATTTTAAGGTAGTTTATA